TGACAAAATAACAATTTATAAATTATCAAGGGCTCATGAGGGAGGGAGGAGTAGGGAGGGAGGGGAAAAATGAGGAGCTGATGCCAGGGGCTCAAGTGAAGAGCAAATGTTTTGAGAATGATGAAGGTAACGAATGTCCAAATGTGCTTTACACAATTGATGTGTGTATGGATTGTGATAAGAGTTGTATGAGCCCCTAATAAAATGATTTAAAAAAAAATACATGATGCAAACCAAGAAAATTATTAAAAACAAAAAGAAACGAAACAAAAAAACCCCGGTGGCAGAGGATGGACACCGTGCGAGGCTGCGTCCATAAGCCGCAGAAGGACCTTTCCCCAGAGCCTTTGGAGGGAGCGAGGCCCTGCCGACACGGTGGCCAGGACTCTAGCTCCGATACTGTCAACAAGTCGATTTCTAGCCTTCGAGCCCGTTTGTGGCAGTTTGCTCCCGCAGGCCTGGCAACAACGGTGCTGCTTTCACCCTGCTGCTGACGACGGGTGACTGTCCCTCTTTTACTCATTGGTAGAAAATCCCGGGAGGATGTAGACTATCAACATCTCACGGTGATTCCCATTCGGTGATGGTGTGATGAGTCCTTTTTCTTTGGCTTGTGCCAATCGCTCCTTTTTACATGATCATTTTGCAACCCCAACAGGTTGTCTTGAGAACCACTTCTTCTGTTTCTTTTTTTCCTGGGAACCATTTCTAAGAGGCTCACGAGTAGGGCAGTGAGCCTCTCTTTGGCTCTGTTACATGAACAGCCGTGCATCAATCCACGGCCTCTCCTGAAGGCACTGCACGGCTGGGACACTTCATCTTTCACCTCACCGTCCCCACTGTACACACAGGTAAGGCAAATGCATACCTCACCACCTGAACTACGATGCTCGGCAGCAGAAGGGGAGCTCACTGATGGCTGTCCTGAGACGAAAGCTGTCAAGGAGGTGGTGTGGTGATCCCATAACCAAAACTAACTGCTGAGGCATGGATTCTAGCTCCCAGACACCCAATGTCAGACTTGAGACTGTAAATCTTTCCAGGAGCAGACAGCCTCATCTTCTTCCTGAGGTACAGCTGTGGGGCTGGAACTGTTGACCTTGCAATGCTACCAGAACATATGGATACTATAGTGGGCCTCGGGAATGGACTTGGGAGTCCAGTACACAGGGCCCGGCGCCGGGCAGGGGGCTTCTGTGAGTTCTCACCTGGTGTCCACTGAATGCTGTCCAAAGCTGAGGTGCCTGCAGCTGGAGCCGCTCCACGCGCAGTAGGGGTCCCGGGCGAGGACGCAGTCCCCGCAGCTCTGGTACATGCTGCAGTTGGCCACAGGCACCTGGACTACGCCGGAGTAGGAGGCAGCATACAGCAGCCCCTGCACAGCAGACACGGGATGAGCAGGCATGAGCAGCCGGACCGCAGCCACAGGGACGGCCGCCCCGTGTTCTCAGGGATGGGAGCACTGAGTGAGCCTGGCTCCCGGGGGGCAAGACAGGAAGGACTGGTGGGGACTTCTGGGCAGTTGTGGTGGAGGCCCCGGTCAGCCTTTTGCAACTCACCTGGTGGGTATCCAGCAGCAGGTTCTGCACGGGCTGTCCCTCGGGGAACACCTGAAGCTCCTCGATGAGGTGCACCCTGGAGCCCACTTTTACAGCCTTGTGCAGCCGGCCGTCACCTGCAGCATGGAAGCCAGTCAGGTCCCGGGCCAGGCTGCCGCCCGGGATCGGGACCCACTAACTGACCCTGTGGCCTCAGCCTGGCTGGCTTCTGACACTCACCGGTACCCATGAAGAGGACGTCATAGGTGTGGTGCGGGCCAGGCACACGGTGGACAACCACCCGCTGGTAGCGGGCCTGGGGTTGCAGCAGGAGCATGTGGCTGCGCACCTGCCCGTCCATCAGGAAGTGGTCCTTGAGGAAGTTGAGCACCCGGTCCGGGAGCTGCAGGGACGAGTTGATCTTCCTTTCCCGGGCACTGTTGGTGATGCACTGAAGGAGAAGGGGAGGAGAGCTGAGCAGTGGGGCCTGCAGGACAGGGCCCTGTAGATCCTGCCGAGACCAGTGGGCCATCTGCCTGGCTCTCAGAAGCCATGGCACAGTGAGTCGTTTTCTAGAGAGCCAGCCTGCTGCCCTGGAGGCCCACGTCCAGTGTGTGGAGAACCCAAGCCTGGCAGGGTCTCCTGTGCCTCCTCCTTGCCCCCCACCCTCACCCCTAAAGGCCTAGGCGCACATGCTTAGTGCCGTGAGCATCTTGCCCCTGGAGCTCCCAGGGAGCCCTGGCCATCCGTCCTCCGTGGAGCAGCCCCGGTTCTGCCCTCAGCCCTGTGCGGCTTCCTGATTGAGTCTCTCTCTGCTGGAGCTCTGAGACTTAATCTCCGGATTAAGCAGTCCGTAACCAATGAGAGGTGGTGAAAAGACCCTCCTGGGGCATGCCTGACTGTGGGGCAGCCTGGGCACCAGAGTTCACGGGCACACCCACCCCTGGCTTTCCTCCCTCCGTCTGCTGCCTGTCATCACCTCCCGGGAAGCTGCCCACACAGGTAGCCTTGCCTCAAGGTCTGCCTTTTGGGGGCCACCCACTGGAGTGTAAGAAAAGAAGAACATTTTCCCCACGGCCTGGTCATCCAGTCCTTGACAACTAGACAGCCCTCCCTCAAGGGGCTCACAGTGAGTGGGGCAGGGGCGAACGAAGGCACGATTCAGCAGTGCCCTGTGAGTGCCCCCTTTGCCCAGCCGAGCCAGGGCAGAGGGCACCACAGGATTTGCGGCCACACCTGAGCCAGCCCGGCAAGCACACCTGGGCTTCTGTCCCCATGGCCGAGTTGAGACAACGGATTGGAGAAGCCAGCGGTTGCTGTGTGGCCAGGCAGCCCATGTCCCAGCATGATGAGGGGGCAGAGGCGAGCACTCACCTCGCCAGGCCGGGGCGAGGGGACCGGGTGTGTCACGGTGTACCACTGCTGTGTCTCCCGGTTCACCTCCTTGTAGAGGCTGCTGAAGGCCCTCTGCACGTCTCTCATGTGGAAGACGCAGATGGCAGAGCCTTCCGTGGTCCCAGGGTGCCTGCAGAGGAGAGGATTCACTGGGGAGCCCTGGGGGGCCCAGTTCCAGCTGCCCCTCACCTCCCAGCTGGGACCTGGGGGCCTACCATTGGGATGTGAAGACCCCATAGAAGAGGGTGTCGAGCCAGTCCTGGGGGCTGGGGCTCAGCATGAAGACGTCCTGAAGCACGTTGAAGGGGAAGCCGTCCCCGGGCCGGGAGCACAGCAGCTGGGCCTTCAGGAAGGACGTCCATCGCTGCTGCAGGACCCGCTCGCCGCCCTCGTCGCCCTGGGAGAGGGCGAGCAAGGCGGGCTCAGGTGTGGTGTGGGGCACGGCATCCCCCACCCCCAGCGGGAGCTGGCAGACACCAGGACCGAGTCCCACTGGAAATCGAGTGGCCTTGCAGGCAGCACCAATGTCCCCGCACCAGGAGGCTGGCTACGTGCCCGAGAGCGAGCGTGGCGCCTAGCGGAACCCTAGGACAGAGGGTGCCGGGGGCTCCATTCCAGACAGGGATTTACAACTGTGCAAAGGAGGAAGCTAAATAACCCTCGCTCGGTGCAACTCATGGGCACTATAAACACAGACACACTCACGTGTGCAAAAACAACAACAAAAGGCTGGTAAGGATATTCTAGAACTTTAACAGTTACCTTGTGGGGGTGGTGGGAGCAGGATTACAACACAAACAGAAGTCGAGATACTACTGCCTACTGCTTTTCCACTATTGCTATGCAGACTGATTAATCCACGTGCCGACTCTGTGCTAGGCAAGTGACTTGCCCAAGATCACGCAGCTCGTGGGGTCTGAACCCAGCGAGGAACTCGGGTCCCAATGGCCGTGCGGCTCACTGTCAAGCTAAGCAGGGGCGTCCAGTTCATTCTGTCTGGTGGCGGCCCCAGGCGTGTGACGCAGAACTGCGCTCTGCATGGGGTCTCAGGGCTGCTTTTTCAGCAGCAGTGCCAGGCCTTTCTTTGAGGTACCCCGAGATGGCCTCAAAACCCCAGCCTTTTGGCGAGCGGGCAAGTGTGGAGGCAGCACCCAGGGAGTCCTATGGCACGGCTTCTCTCGCCTCTAAGGGATTTTTATACAGGCTTTTCTGTACTGTCACATTGTTTGAAAGAAAGAAACAAGAGCTGTTTTCAGTTTAAAGTTAGCCAAGCGACCGCTCGTAGACCTGGGGCCTGGACCCCAGGGGGCCACCCTGTTGGCTCACCCCCTCACCTTGCAGATGCGTGCGATGCGGGACACGATGGTGTTCTCAAAGAACTCAAACTCCTGGCCTGTTTCGCTGAAGAAGAAGTAGATCTTGTCGTCGTCCCCCTTCAAGCTGCCCAGGCTCTCGGGAACGTAGGCTGAGGCCACAAAGCCTGGGTCTGTGGGGCCGAGGGGAGTGTGGAGTCAGCCCAGGCGGCCTGGAAGCAGGAGCAGCTCCGTCTTTGGCCCTATCACGGAGGAAGTGCCCCATCCACCGGGAATCCCATGCCAGCCCAAGCCCCCTGGCAGCCAGGCACGGTCCCAGGGCGGTGGGTGGACTTCACCTTGTAGCCAGTTGAGGGAGCTCTCGGTCTTGGTGGGACGTTGGCTCTGGCTTCGGGAGATAGCTGGGTCATTCCCCTGGAAGCTGCTGACTGTTCCGGTGTACAACTCGCCATCTGCCAAGAGAACATTCCTATGGGAACTGGCCCCTCTGCAGGGTCCTGTGGTGGGCAGGGCAGGAGCAGGAACCGGAAAGAGTCAAATCCAGGGCCCTGGGTAGCTAGCTCTGTGGTCAGTCCGCCCAGCCAAGCCACTCCGAGGACCTGGCATGACAGGGATGCACTGGCTCAGCCCACCTCCCTGGCCACCGGCAAGGTCATCCTGCTCCCAACACTCACCAACCACCAGGGCTGTGGACTTGAAATTTGGGTCAAAGGGACAACGACCCTTGCCGTCTTCCAGGAGGATGTTCCCTGCCTTATCCTTCGCCAGAGTGAAGTTCTCCACATTCTACCGGGGAGCAGACAGGGAGCGCTCAGGGGCCGCAGGGAAGCAGGGAGGTGTGTCAGATAAGGCAGCGTTGCGGGCAGGGGGGACAGGAGCCTGTGCCCCTCATCCCTGCAGCACCCGAAGAGGAGGAGCTGAGCCTCAGGGGCCGGAGGCATGCCTCAAACCCTCTGTGAAGGTGTGCACAGGACAGAAGAAAGGGGGGGGTGCGAGGAAAGGGGGTGTAGCAGGTGGGGGCGGGGGAAGGAGGCTCCCACGAGGGCAGGAGAGGGAGAGAAGCCGGGTAGTGAGAGGCACTGAGCAGTGGATCGGACGGGATCTCTGTGCCCCTCTTTGTCCCTGTGACTGACCCCCGGCTGGGCTGCTAGAAAACAGCTCCCAGGGACAGGAGGAGGGCAGATCCCCGGGTGATGAGGGAGAGCCCGGGGCTGGGGAGAGCACTCACAATGTAGGTGCACACGGGGCTGAAAGCGGCCGTGCCACAGGTAAACAGGTGGGTGCTGTTGAGCGGCAGAAGGATCTTGATGTAGTTTTGGCAATCCCGCTAGGGGCAAAGAGGGAGAGAGAGGTGACCAGGGTCCAGGCCCCGACTGCCACCAGGGGGCTCCACCGAGCCCTCCCAGTCCCGCTAGCTCCCCAGGGTTGGGCATGGAAGCCCTGGAACGAATGAGAATACAGGCACATTGGACAGGCAGCTCCCAGGAAGGGTCAGAGAGCTCCGGGCCAGGGTTGCGTGCACAAAGGCTCAACATCTGGGGTGTGAAGGGCACAGAGCCTCACTCTCCTGGGCTCTCCGGGCCCTCCTCTCCAGAACCTTAGTGAAAACCACAGGTCCCTCCGAACTGGCCTCAGGTGAGGAAGCCCCTCCCAGAGTGGCTCTGAGCCCTGAGCCCGTATCATCTCCCAGGGGGCACCATGCAGACTGATCCCCTCGAGAGCTTCCCGCTGTCCTGAGGGACAGGCAACGCCCCCTGCACTGTTGCTGAGGCCTTGGACAGCCCTGTCACCTCTACTCTCGGCTCCCACAGCCCCAGCAGGACATCCTGGTGGCTCCACCCTCACACAGCCCCACACCGACCTGTCCTCACTCCCTTTACTGGAACCACTGTCGTCACAGGTCTCCCCTACTCCATCCCGGGTTGTCCCTTGACACCACAGTGAGCAGGGATCCTTTCAGAGCAGAGGTCAGACGGTAGGCGCCCATCTCCCCGTGCTACCCCTCCTCCAGGTCCCAGCACCCCCCAGTCTCTGCTCCAATGTCCTCTGGGTTTGATGACGTGTGGCCAGACCACCCTTCAAACGGACTGATTTTTGTCTGCTGCATTCCCTCACCAGGCTCTCTCCAGTGCCTACAAGGGCCAGGCACAGAGCCAGTGGGGACTAAATGTGGAAGCAGGACAGGGATGTTGAATAAAGTCAGGGCAGCTGGGGCTCAAATCTGGGCCTCAAGTCCAGTGTGCTTGTAGCGGCCACCTGCTGTCCTCAGCACTAGGAAGGAGGCTTCTGGGAATGGCAGCAAGGTCTCCAGGAGAATCCAGGCTAACTCAGACCCCACCCCAGTGGGGTTTGGCCCAAATAAAACTAGATTCTGTCATCAGACACCATCTGCAGGAAGGCTACAACTCCTAGAGCCAGCCTGGGCAGGAAGCTGGCGTTTATTTAGCACTTATTACGTACGTACCAGAGACTCACTGAATCCTCACCATGAATTGAATGAGACAGGTATTCTCATCCGTAGTTAACAGGTGAGGGGCACTAAATGCTTGGCTAGGTGAATCCACTTAACCAGGGTCACAGAGATATTGAGCATAGGGGCCTGGCCATTTTGGAAGCCTGCACCCCCTCTTCCCATCTCCTGCCTCTGATCCGTGCCCTGATGCATTTTTCTACTCCTCACTCAGCCAGAATCACCACTAAGTGCTGGCTTACCTGGGGGTCCTTGCCTTTGAAGCTGCACTGCTGTTTTCTCTCCGCGTCTGCACGCCACAGCACCTGGGGGATAAGGAAGGGGAAGGTGAGCGGGCAGGGGCGTGGGGGTTTGCACCTGAGCCCATCATGCCTCCCACTCATCTAGCCCTCAGCTATCCTCTGGCTGGCTTAGCTAGTCCTGGGTAGCATCTCTCACCTCCTGGCAATCCCCGCCTGGCAGGAAGCTGACGCTGGTGTTGAGTGCAAAGAGGGCCTCTTGGGCGCCCACATATAGAGTCTTGCCATCCTTGCTTAGCAGAAGGGTTGTGTAGTTGGAGATGCTCTCAGTTTTAAATAGGAGCAACGGCCGCTTTTCAGAGCCTGGAGAGAAAAAAAGGGGCATTACCTGGGGGTCATGCCTCCCATGAGAATCCTCCTAGACCAACTCCAGAATGGGCCCATTGACTGAAGTCGGTCAGCAGGGTGGTGGGACACAAGGGGCTGGGGACAAGGGAACAGGTTTAAAGGGGGAGCAGCATTCTTGGTCTTTCCATCATTCTATAAGAAACAAATGCACAACGACCCTAGAGTAAGCTAAAAAGCATTGCTACGAGCACAGTACATAGTTCACATATATTGTATAGGCTCATTCCAGACATCTTTCAACGTGTCTCGACAGCCAGTGGGTGGCGGAGGGCACGTTTTCTCAGGAATACACTTGTGCCTTTGGATAAAAGGTCCTCACAGCACAGTGACGTCCAAGGGGGTCTGTTGGATCAGTTCAAATCAAGGCAGATGTAGGTCGGCTCAGAAGATAATGGAGACTCTCTTTGGGGATTCTACAGGGATCTTCTTGCTCAGTTTCTTGAGGGACATGGGATGATCACGGGGGCAAATATTCTAAATTAGGAAGAACTTTTGAGAAAATGGAGAATTGCACTAGGGCGTGAAAGGTCACCAGAGCGCAGCAGCTTCCTCTCTGTGGGCAGTTAGGCTGCTCCCAGGTGGCTCGGTTGGGCAGCCCTATCCCATCCACCCAACAGTCTGAGCTTGCCCCTCCAGACTTCTCTTTGCACCCATACTCCAGAGCCTGGAAAAGGAACACAGCTCGAGCCGCTCGAGGGTGCCCAAGCTGCCAGTGCGACTTGGTGTCGACTGAAGAGCGCAGACTCTTCGGGAAGAATCGGAAGCATCGCCTTCAGAAATACACAGAGCTGGAGAGAGGTTTGCTTTAGAACAGTGGCTTCACCTTTCGATATGGTTGCTTACCGAAGGGTTCTGTGACTTCAGAGCAATACTTTCTGACTTACCCACGTATACGAGGGGGCTTTAGAAAGGTGGAATTAAAAGGTAGTGGAATCCCCTCACCAGCTTTTTGAAGCCCCAGCGTATGTGAAAGAGCATTCATTACAGCACCATTCATATTAATGGCCAATGAGGAACCACCTAGTGTCGAACCACAGGGGACAGGAGGACAAGCATGGCAACTCCACTCAATGGAAAACCAAGCAGCTGGCAAACGTGATGATGTTGGCAGCAGTGGCAAAAATATGGAGCAAACCAAAATACAGTGTGATGCACAGTATGATCTGGGTGGGGCACATGATCCAATAAGGGAGAAAATGCTACCCTCCTCTGGGTAGCATTAGGAGAAAGGCAAGGTGAAGCACTGCCCAAGGGGTAGTGCGGCTATGGGCTCTGGTCTTCAGCGGTCAGCTCTAGGCCACAATCACTCATAGAAGGCTAATGGTTGTTTAGCAGGCCACACATGTTAACGGCCTTGACTTCGGACGCCTTACAACGGACACGTTTAATGATGTTGAGGTGTGGTAAAGGGAAGTAGAGTCTTGAATATCCTCATCTGCGAACCAAGCAGGCCACAGGCACTGCCAATGTTCACGGAAGGAGAAAGAGAGGTGCGGGCGCACGTTTGAAGGAGGCGAGTACAGTGGCGCACTATGTTGGGAGGGATTAGGGAGTGGGTTGTAAGGGATGGAAAGCTTTATCTTTCTCAGCAACAAGCCAGCAATGAAGTCATGGCTGAAGGTGATAACACGAGTCTGGGTGTAGCGAAATGGTTAAGCTCTAGGCTGCCAATTGAAAGGTTTGCCGTTCATTCAAACCCACCAGCTGACTCCTCGGGTAAAAAGACCCGGCAGCTCATGCCCACAAAGCCTGAGCTTGGAAATCCTATGAAGTTCTGTCGTGTCACACAGGCTCACTCTGAGCGGAAATGGACCGGCCAGCACAAACAGGAGCAGCAACAGAACCGGTAAGTCAAGATGAAGACTGGCCGGACCGAGAAGACCTCAAACTACGAGCACCTGTCCTTCCTCTGTATAAATGTTAAAGCACCTTTCAGAGTAGGGGCATCTGTAACAATCAACACCAAAGGCTCCAGTTGTTTTCTAGTATGTAAACACGAAGGTCATGCAATGGTATGCTTAGTCAGATTCTGGGGGTGGTGTGTGTGTGTGTGTGTGTGTGTGTAAAACACACAGCTAGAGGCTGGTTTCACAAACAGCTGGAAGGTCACTTTCCCTGCTGGGATGACAGGTACATGAGTTCCGTCCTCCCTTTCAGTCTAGCATCACTTACTTCTGCTTCCACAAGAGCAGGTGATATTGGTACCGCGTGAGAGCAAGCACAGAGGGGAGGAGGAGGGAAAACCTTCAACAAGCCTCTCCTGCCGCCCCACAAGGCTACTTAGGGGCTTGTGCTTCGGGTGATGACTGTGTTTGGAGGGAAATTAATTTAGAAATTCCACAGCCACTGATGAGGGAAAACGCAAACAAACCAAAAGCAGTCACCCTGGCCACCTTCTGACGTCTCCCGAGTGGCCAGCGGTGACGTCCCAGCAGGCAGACACAGCGTCACGAGGCTGAGAAAGCAGCAGTGCCACATGCCGACAGAGCAGGTGTGAACACGCAGCACGTGCGCACTTACACGCGAGTGTTTTTACGTACCCCCAGCCTGGTTCCACCAAGGGCGAGGAGACGCATGGGAAAAAAAAATCCGTAAATATACACACTCATGCCAGGAGCAGAGAAAACAGAGAACCGGGCGGATTTAGCTCTGGGCCTCCCCATGGACAAAGAGAAGAGGGAAATGAAGTTACTTTGTCCCCACTGTCCAAGAGGAAGGACACTTGCCAGACTTCCTGAGGGAAGCCAAGCTTTCACCCTGACTACTAAGCCGTGGTGGGCTGCGGTCCTTGGCAAGGTCGGCAGTTCGAAACCACCGGACACTCCCTGGGAGAAAGCAGTGAGCGTCTCGGAGACTCACAGGGGCACCCTGTCCTGTCCTAGAGGGTCGCTATGAGTCGCGTACGGGGTCCATGGCAGGGAGCTAACACTCAGGGCAGCCTCCGCAGGGCTTCCTGTGGCCATGAAACAATCAGTGTCACTGGAGCAAGAGGACACTGAGGTTATCAGGGCCATTCTGCCACTCTACCGTCCCCCGGTGAAGGCAGGGAAGTGGTGACAGGGACCAGGGTACACAGGGGAAGCTCTGGCGTTGGGAGTCTCATCATTTGGAGTCAGAGCCTGGTGAACATGCACAGGGAAAGCCCTGTCTGCCTGAGTCCTCGCTCTGAACCCCAGAAGCCAGACTCCCTCCGATTCCCGCCTGACCCCTCAGGGTTTCCAGAGCCCTGGAGACCAAGGAGAGTTTCAAACACGAATCCTCCCCACTTCTCCTGGACGCGTCCCCCCCGCCCCCTTGCCCCGTGGCTTCCACAGGTCCGTCCTGGCAAGGGGCAGCTGTGCCAGCTGCCATGCCAAATGTTTTGCAGATAAGAACTACGTTATCCCCACAACAACCCTTTGAGGCAGGCCCTCTTACTTCCAGTTTACAGAAGGGGAAGTTGAGGCTCATACAGACTAAGCAATTACCAAAGCTGCAGGGGGGTGGCTGGGGTGGGAAGAAGAGCCAGGTGGGAGGCCACCTGGGCAGCTTCCTTCCTGAAAAACCAGCGCCTGCGAACAGTGAGGTGTCTAAGAATCCCCCAGATGTTCAAATGCCCAAGAGCTCTGTGTCCCACCAGCGCAGGTGCTGTTGGGGTGGGGGCGGGGGGCGGTGGGCCTGCATCTCTGGGTAAGTTGCCCTGATGACTCGGAAGTCAGAGGTCCACGTGTGGAGGAGCACCTTGTCCCTGGTCGGAGGCTCTGCTGAAGGGCAGTTTTGCGCCATCTCGATGAGCAAAATAGAAAAATAGAAAAAGCAACTCCAGGTCTTGTGGGAAGTTAGTGAGAGCCGGGCAAATAGCATAGTCGCTGTTTTATCTTTTGTACCCCTCCCAGCCCGTCCAGAACGAAGGGTGGGATGGAATTTGTTATCGCTTATCTGCCTTCCAAGAAGGGGGCGCTTCTATCTGGGAGAATCAGGAAGTCTAGGCAGGAGGCTTCACTTGGAACCTATCCTAAAACAAATGTCAAAGGTCAGATTGTCATGTCCCAGGAGGCAGCGTCACCCCACCTAGGCCTGGGAGGGGCTGGCAACCTGCCAAGGCACAGGTAGGCTAGAGGGGCAGCAGCTGCAGTTCCTGGTCCAGCACAAAGTACCTCAAACCCAAAGGAAGCAGGCTGAGAAACGGGAGGGTTTCTTAAAGTAGCCCTCCATCCTGGGGATTCCCCTCCTAGACACAAAGCCATAGCAGCCTGGTGGTCCTGGCCCCCATGAGCTCCTACCCCTGGACACTGCACCAGGGCTGGTCAGTGCAGCTGGCTTCCCAACGGGAAGGCTTAACAAGACAGAGTTCACGTATAGTCAGGTGCGGGTTCAAATCTTACTTCTGCCACTTGCAAGCTGTGTACCACTAGCACAAGTCACCTGACCTCTTGAGCCTCACTTTCCTTATCTGTAAAATAGGGATAATTAACAGCGCCTCGCCTCATGAGGCTGTTAGGAGGAGAACTAAGATTATGTATGTAAATACTAATATACATAATAACCCACATTTACAAAGCGCTTCACGCAAAACAACTCTGTACACGTTACCCCAGCGTCCACATGGTGTCTGGCACAGGGTCAAGGAGCAGATTGCAAAGCAAGCTCCAAAGCCCTGCAGGAAAATCCACCCCGGCCAGGCTGCCAGAGCACAGGCTGCTCCGAGGGCTGGGCCGCCCTGCCCTCACAGGTAGAGGCCCCGGCTTGGGTGGCTCTGACCTGAGTCCTCTCCCTGGTCACAGGAGGGTCTATCCGTTCAGAAACAAGGACGGCTAGGTCACAGGCACCGTGTTAGCTGTAGGCGCAGGCGACTGCAGGGATGCCAGGCCAGGCCCTGCCTGAGCTTGCCTTGTCTGTGTGTGTGGTGGTGGTGGCGGTGGTGGGGGTATGTGGTGTCTGTCTGTCTGTGTGCACCTTGTGCCTCCGGGCTTGTC